GTTGACTGTGCTGTTACTGACTTGTAGGAATTCTTTACATATTCTGGATATTAATTCCTTGTCAGATATATGATTTGCAGAGATTTGCCATTCACTCTGTTGATTTTGTCCTTTAATGTAGTATTTTTTAAAATTTTTTTGTGGTTGCTTGTACTTTTGGCATCCTAAGGAATCACAACTGAATCCAATATCATGTACCATGTCCCCTGTGTTTTCTTCTAATAGTTTAATAATTTTAGGGTTTACATTTAGGTCTTTAACCAAACTTGAGTTAATTTTTGTAGATAGTATGATATAGAGGTACAGGCTCATTATTTTGCTTGGAGATACCAAGTTTCCAAGTACAGTGTGTTAAAGAGGATGTCCGTTCCCAGGGAATGGTCTTGGCACTCTTGTCAATATAATTATTTGTCCTTATGTGTTTATTTCTGGGCATTCTGTTCCATTGGTCTATGTCTTTTATGAAGGTATCACATTGCTTTGATCACTGTAGCTTTGTAATAAGTTTTGAAATCCAGAAGTATGAGATCTCCAACTTTGTTATTCATTTCAGGATTGTTTGACTATTTATATCCTTTTGAGATTCCATATGAATATTAGGATGGATATTTCCATTTCTGTAAAAAAACACAGTTGGGATTTTGATAGAGATGACATTGAATCTATAAATATCTTTTGGGTAGTATTGGCATCATAAAAATGTTAAGTCTTTCCAATCCACAAACACAGAATATCTGTCCATTTATTTGGATTTAAATACTTTCAGCAGTTTTCAAGTTTTCAGTGTAAAAGTCTTTCATCTTGGTTATGTTTATTCCTAAGTATTGTATTCTTTTGAATACAATGGTTATTGTATGGTTACAATACAATGGTTATTGTACAATGGTTATTTCTTTTTAGGAATATTCATTGTTAGTATATAAAACATAACTGATTTTGTGTATTGATTCTGTAACTTGCAGCTTTACCAAATGAATTTATTCTTAATAGTTTTCTTGTAGAATCTTTAGGGTTTTCCACATACATGTGTTATCTGTGAACAGGAATAATGTTTCTTCTTCTTCTTTTTTTTAATTTGGATGCCTTTTATTATTTTTCTTCCCTGGATGCTCTGACCAAGACTTCCAGTACTATGTTGGATAAAGTGGCAAAAGCAGGTATCCTTGTCTTGTTCTTGATAATGGAGTAAAATCTTCTGGTCTTTTACCACTGAGTATATTAGCTGTGGGCTTTTCATGTGGGGCTTTTATTATGTTGAAGTAGGATCATTGTTCCTTGTCTGTTTCATGTTTTTTAACATGAAAGCGTGTTTAATCTTCTCAAATCCTTTTTTGACATCATTCAAGAGGATTGTGTGTTTCTTTCATTGTGTTAATGTGAAGTGTTACATTGATTGATTTTCATTATGTTGAACCATCCTTGCTTCCAGGAATATATCCCCCTTGGTCATTCTGTACATTCCTTTTCATGTACTGTGGAATTGTGTGCTATTATTTTGTTGAGGATTTTCATGTAAGTATTTGTGAAGGATATATGTCTGTAGTTTTTTTGTATTTTTGTCTGGCTTTGGTATTAGGCTGATGCTGTCTTCATAGAATGAGTTTGGAAGTGTTTTGTTCTCTTCAGTTTGGGTAAAGAATTTAAAGATGGTTCATGTTCTTTTTTTTTTAATATTTGGGAGAATTCACCAGTGAAGCCATCTAGTTCAGGGATTTCCTTGTTAAAAGGTTTTTGAATAGGGATTTCCTTATTAAAAGGTTTTTGAATACTCCTTCAATCTCCTAACTAGGTACAGATTTATTTGGATTTCCTGAACTGATTTCGTATTCATCATTCAGTTTTAGTAGACTGGGAATGTCTAGGAATTTGTTTCATCTAGGTTATCCAATTTATTGGTGTACCACTGTTCATAGTATTCTCTTATCTTCTGTATTTCTGGGGTATCAGTTGTAATGTCTACTCTCCCATTAATTTAAAATCTTCCAAAAATAATAAATAAATAAATAAATAAATAATAAAATCTCCCAAAATGGGGGCACCTGGGTGGCTCAGTTGGTTAAACGACTTCACCTAGGTCATGATCTCACTGTTTGTGAGTTTGAGCTCACGTTGGGCTCTGTGCTGACAGCTCAGAACCTGAAGCTTGCTTCTGATTCTGTTTCCCTTGCTTTCTGCCCCTCCCCCACTTGCACTCTCTTGTAAACGTTAAAAAAAAATTAAAAAATAAAATCTTCCAAAATGGCTTTGTTTCTGTAAAATCAGTTGCAATATCCCCTTTTTCATTTTTGTTACTATTATTTTTTTGAGAGTGAGCAAACATGAGCAGGGGAGGGGCAGAGGGAGAGAGAGAAGTTTAAGTAGACTCCATGCCCAGTGCAGGGCCCAGTGTGGGACTTGATCTCCCAAGCATGAGATCATGACCTGAGCCGAGATCATGAGTCAGACACTTAATAGACTGAGCCACCCAGGTGACTCTTGCTTTCATTTCTGATGTTAGTTGAGTCATCGTGTTTTGTTTTTTTTTTTTAAGTCTAGGTAAAGGTTTGTCAATTTTATTGATCTTAACAAAGAATGAACTCTTGGTTTCATGGATTTTTCTCTACTGTTTTTTTATTCTCTATTTCATTTATCTCTGCTCTAAGCTTTATTTTCTATTTTCAACTAGCTTTGGGTTTAGTTCTCTAGTTATAGTGAGATTGTTGATTTGAGATATCTTCTTTTTTAATGTAAGCATTTATAGCTATACATTTCATTTTCCCCTTAGCACTGCTCTCACTGCATCCTATAACTTTTGTTATATTGGGTTTTCATCGTCATTTATCTGAAGATATTTTTCTAATTTCTCTTGTGATTTCTTCTTTGACCCATTGGTTGTTTAAAAGTATGTTAATTCCCACGTATTTATGGATTTTCCCTTTTCCTTCTGCTATTGATTTCTAGTTTCATTTCACTGTGAACAGGAAAGACACTTTGGTTTCAATCTTTTAAAATTTCCTAAGACTTGTTTGTGGCCTAAAATGGTCTATTTTGGAGAATGTTTCATGTGCACTTAAGAAAAATATATATTCTGCTTTTCTTGGGTGTCATGTTCTAATATGTCTTTTGGGTCCAGTTGGTCTTTAGGGTTGTTCAAGTACTGTTCTTATTGCTCTTCTTTCTGGTTCTATCCATTATTGTAAGTGGGGTATTGAAGTCTACTGTAACTGTAGAGCGGTTCTTTTTCTCCCACCAATTCTGTCCATGTTTGCTTCATATATTTAGGAACTCATGTTGGGTGCATATATAATTGTTATAGCTCCTTGGTGAATTGAGCCTTTTATTATTATATAATGGCCTTTTTTTGGTCTCTCGTACCTGTTTTGACTAAAAGTCTATTTTGTCTGGTATTATTGTAGCTACCTCCATCCTCTTGTGGTTACCATTTGCATGGATTATCTTTTTCCATCCTTTCATTTTCAATATGTGTATGTCCTTAGATCTAAAGTGAGTCTTTTGTAGACAGTATATACTTGATCTTGTTTTTTAAATCCAATCTATGGGGACTTTAATTCACTTACATTTCAAGTTATTAGTGATGGGGAAGAAATTCCTGCTACCATTTTGTATTATTTTCTATATGTCTTAAAGCTCTTTTTGTCATTTAAACGTCTTAATTTCCTAGGAGTCTCAGCCCTGCTGCTTCTCAGGGCCTTAGATGTTGTATTTTATTCCTCTGCCCATAATCTCTTGCCCTTAGGCATTCATGGTTCTGCAGACCCCCAGTAGCCCTCAGGTGTAGCACTTCCCATCAGTGCTCTGAGTCAGGCAAGACAGTCCCTCAAGCAATCCTCAGACAAGTCAGAACATCACAAGTAAGTTCCACTCTTTTTTCCATGAATTTAGAGGCGGCTTTTTTCCACTAGGCCAGGAGAGTAAGGGGAAAGGGTGAGCATAAAGGCCATAAAGTTTCCTATCATTTTGAATGTGACTTTTTGTTGGTTAGGTGTTTGGTTGTTACTGCTGCTTAATTGGCTTCTAGAGTTCTCATGTTACATTGGGGAGTATATTGTATCTTCAGTGTTTCTCTGTGTATTTGTTGGGGGGAGAAGGGTCTGGAGCTTCCTAATCTTGGTGATATCACTGTCAATTATCTTTTACAGAGATTTATTTTGAAAGAAAAAGTCTAATATTCTATTATTTCTGGTACTTTTTTATGTGTATGTAGATTCAGATTTCCTTCTGGTATCATTGTCCTTTTGCATGAAAGACTTCCTTTAATATTTCTTTAAGATCTTCCTATACTTAAATAAATTCTACTGACCTGTCTTAAAGCTCACAGATATTTTTTCTGCACTGTCCAAATTGCTGCAGAGCTCATTCAGGTAATTTTTGCCAAGATTACAAACTCTGCCTTGTCAGACCACTGGCTGAATTCTCTGCCCAGCCCTCTAGACCACAGCTCTTGCCTTTCATGTTGCCTTTCCTAGGGGTCTCACTCTGCACATGGGCTATCTAGGTATCTGCCAAGGATTTGAGGGAATTTTGAGGGCTCTTTTCTTTCCAGGATTTGCCACCTGGAAATTTCTACCACCCTGGCAACCCTGCTCTTTCATTCCTCAGCCCAGTAAAACTACTTTTTCCTTGAGGTCTATCTCCTGTGAACCCATTAAGTGGAAAGTGCTCTCAGAAGCCAGTTGAATATGGACCTCAGTCCGTTTATTTCCCTTTTTTCAAGGATCATATCATCTCCACTTTCTGCTTACTATTGATTACTCATCTGTGCCTTCAAATATGTTATTGTTACCCTCAGAAGGGTTTGGTCCATTATAAGTTACTCTGCCACTACTGGAATTAGAACTGAATTATATTTAAAATGCTTAAAATGTATGAGTTATCAAAGTCAGTTTTTCAGTAATGCAAAGAAGATTTACAAAAATTTTATATTTTAAAGGTAGTTATTACAAAGTGACTATAGTTTTTATAATTTGAAGACTATTTGGGATTTGTTTTTCCTTGTGCAGGATATAGCCAATGAAGACCACAAAAAAATTGAAGCATTAAAGTCTGAAAACAAGAAGCTAGAAAAACAAAAAGGAGAATTAATGATAGGGTTCAAGAAGCAGTTAAAATTAATTGATGTTTTAAAAAGGCAGAAGGTGAGTCTATTCTAAAAAAAACAGTTAAATTGTAGATATTTTTAGATGTATTTGATATGCTTAGGTACAAAATTTTACCAATAGAACATACATAATAAGATTTCTACATAAGATGTCATCCAAGCAAATGGATATTTTCAGGCAGATAAATTAGTAATGTGGAAAATGGGACTGGTAAATACAGTATGGGTACTCCCTAATAACAGAAAGTATATACAAGAGTATAATATACTATTATCTTATTGGATTGGTTTGCCTCTTTAAACACGGAAGAGTGAAAATGGATTCCAAATCACTCTTCCCTTCTCTACACATGAATTACCTGGTGGTGAGAAGATTCGAAGCCAGGGCTCTGCCACTTTCCCTTTTTGCAAAGGTTACGTATTAAAATACTACTGAAGTGTTCTCTCAACAGGTTGATTCAGTAACCACCATGGACAAATAGGCTTTTACAGGCTGACCCTTGAATGTAATTATTTCAAATATGTTTATTGGGATTAGAGTACACATTCCAACAGAGCTTATCATTTGATAGCATATTTATATACACATTTTTATCAACTGCGTGTTGTCCTGTGGTCTACTCTTAATGCTAAAACAATATTGATTTGTTACAAACACAGATGCATATTGAAGCTGCCAAGATGCTGTCTTTCACCGAAGAGGAATTTATGAAGGCACTTGAATGGGGAAATTGATAAGTGACCTACTTTAATTAGTCTGTATAACTGACTGTGTGCCCCATATACATTTTATTTAAAGTTTTAATGATTTATTTTTACTCTTTATAAATAATTAAGATATTTGATAATGAAATCAAAGCAATTGCAACAAATTCCCTGTTTAGATTTGGGGTGGATAGAAAATTATTAGAAAATTGTGAGCCACTTGCCTTTTTACATAAAGTATTTTATGCTCTGGTGATTTAGCTCTAATAAAAACAGTACTAGCACATAAACTGTCATTTAAGTTCTTATTGACAATAAACCACTTTGAAATTCCTCACTCTTTACTATTCTTTTCCCTTATAGTAGAAAGAAAAAGATACTTTCCCTAAACACAAATACCAAGCTCTGAGCAGGAGGAGTAGTATGGAAAAGTTAGTCTCCTGGGTTTGGCTGTATTGTATTTATATAAAGGAAATGTTGTAATGTGGTGTGTAACTCAGCTGTTCAAATTATCAGTACAAGAACAAGAATTTGACTAATAGCAATTAATTTTATAGATAAAAAATATTCTGCAATTTAATTTTATCAGAAAACAAATATTTTCTTATAGATAATTGTTTACAAATGATGAAATACAGAGTTGCTTTAGAAAATCCAAATAGATTATGGATTCTATCACTGACCTGTGAAACAAAAGTCACACTGACATCTAGTGGTGAAAACAAAACAATCCAGGTTTTACCAAATCTTGATGGTATCACTTCTCTTCACAAATTTCACTCCTTTTCTGATATACTTTTCTAAACTCTTCACCAAGCATATCGATATCATCCTCCTTTTTAAATACTCCCTACAGGAAAAATATTTTGTGAGTTACTTCAAATGCCAGAATATTTAACTAAATGCTTCTAAGACTAACATATAGACTACAAAAATTTGTAAAGTTATCTCCAAGATAATGAAATCTATTTCATAGGTTTACAAATAATATCACTAGTCTCTGAAAATTATTACTCTATGTATAATGAAATCTTTGACCTGATTTCCTGATTTATTTATCAGCTCCAGTATAGGAATTTGTAATAGGAATCTGGAATTCTATTTTACTACCTCAGGTACCACTGCTTGGATTGGCTGAATGAGAATTTCATAAGGTATGAGAGCAGTCAGAGTTAAGAGACTGAGCTTTGCCAGATTCATGCGTGGGATTGGCTCTCACCTCCATTCTATGGTTGATCAGCAAACATTGTCTTGCAGGAAAGACTCCAGGTATGGAGTTACATGCCCTTTAAGCAAGCCCTTTGAAATTCTTGATGCTTTTATTTACGTTTCTTTTCCTTACAGTACACAATAAAAGGCTCTTAAATATTTACTTATGTAATTTAAAGGAGCTAAAGAATAATTTAGGTCATTTAGGGCCATTAGGACCTAAAAATTAAAATCATTTTGGCAGAACAGGTTTGTTAGACTCTCCCTATCTCCACATTTATTTCCTTTTAAAAGTATCTAAACTGAGATTCTCCAGAATTTATAGTCTAATTTTTTTGAAATGAATTTCTTATAGCTTTTGTCAGTGTATCATTTCATATTCATTAATCCAATCAGCCAATTAGACTATAACATCCTGTGGGCAAGCAATAATTACTCATATATTTCCCTTTCTCTTTCCTTAGCACTGGACTGAACCCAAAATAAGCACTTTATTCTTACAATGGAATAAAATATCAAATGACATTTCTATTTGAAGGTTGTAAATTTTATTTACATGAGTCCAGATGTTTATGGGGCTTAGGAAAATCCATTGTTACTTCATTTATAGTCAGAATGTATTCCACTTATACATGAAAATCTGTTACCTTCTGGAAGTACTTTTAAAAATAGATTACTTAGTACCTACTTATAACCTCCCATTATACAGCAGCTCTGTCTCGGACTTGGTTCAAGCATGTGTCTGTTATCAGTGTTACCAATTACAAGAGTTTCCTGTACAAAAAGTATCACGGTTGCTTTAGGGTAGTTTAGTTTTAGACTTCCTACACCAAAAGGGAAAAAGAACTTCTAAAATTTAAATTCAGTAAATCTAGCTCCTACTTTAAGAATGTGCCAAGATTTGGGGCACCTGGGTGGCTCAGTTAAGCTTCCAACTTTAGCTCAAGTCATGCTCTCACAGTCCATGAGTTCAAGCACCAAGTCAGGCTCTGTGTGGACAGCTCAGAGCCTGGAGCCTGCTTCAGATTCTGTGTCTCCTTTCTCTCTGACTCTTTGCTGCTTGTACTCTGTCTCTCTCTCAAAAATAAAGAAACATTAAGAAAAAAGAAAAAAAATGTGCCAAGACCAACTCTAATTTTAGAGACAGATGTTCAATGACTGCCTCCGATCCCACTGCTGCTTTGTAACAGCCACAAGTAAGTGAAACCCAGGCCCTCTGTTTTTTTCCCCATTATTAGAGTTTAGGAAGATTATACCTTGAATTAAATCTCACTTACTTTAGGAAGATATCCTAGTAATTTTGTAGCATGTTCTTTGAGAAGTTTTAGTCTTTCTTCTTCAATAATTGCATTAATACATCCTTGTCGTCTTTGCTGCAACTGCCATTCTTCCAGTTCACGTTGCTGGAAATGTAAATGAAATTTTATTGTCACAGAATACATTAATATTTTAAGAAGTCGTCAAATAAAGCCATCTTGCAGTGGATTAGATAAAATTGAACTATTTTTTACACTAACTTCAGAAAATATTATGTAGTATATATATCTTTTATATTTATTATATATACACAAATCTCTTTTTTACAGTCACTATTCCCTTAAGGATACAAAAAAATAGGCATGGCTGGGATTTTAGGGAGGCAAGTATATGTCTTCAGGACAGTATCTTCATCACCAAGTAAAAAATGTACAAAGAAGGGACTTCCTAATTCAAATATTTATGTAATGTTTACCATATGCCAATTGCTGAAGGCAGCTTTCAGTGTAAAACAAAACCAAAAACTGGATGAAACAGAATAGGGATATCTAAAAGATAAATATTTCCATGTATGTTAAAGATTTTAAGAGCCCATATGAAGCACAGGAGTAGCAGCAAGAGTTCTAACAGGAGAACCAGTGTTTCTCAGGCAACAGTTCTGAATGCTCTCATGTAACCGCACCAAAATTCTGTGCCACATGCTATGGAAGAGATGGCCAGTTTTAAAAGTTTTAGGGCTTAAAAGAACTCTTACAGCATTGTATCCAAATAATCTCTTGTAAAGGGAAGGGTGCTAAAGGCAGGCCACTGAAGTAGTGATGAATTCCTACATAGGATTAAAGTAGTATTAATGTTGAGCTGGTCTGTGCAATAAGTAGTTTCCTAGGGTCACAATTTCTTCAAAACTCTTCATAGTTACCAAATAAAGATAAAGAAGGATGCTAGGACACAGCCATATCCAATGCCACTTAAGCCTTTAATGGCTTCTAATGAGACTATTTTGTCTACTATGATATTACCTTATTTGCATTACAGAATCAGAAGAAGCATTGGTAGCTGAGAAAAGACACTCTCTACCCATCTTGTTATTGAATCAAAGAGTTGAGTGGCTCTTACTTATTTTCTAAGATGATATAAAGTTATAGAATCTGGCATGGAATCGTTATACCTGAATTTGTTTTGAGACTATATTTCTAAGGCTCCCTTATAATCATGTGTGATCACAACAGGACTTGGTTTCTGCCAATGGACTATAAGCAAAAGTGTCATATGGCAGATTCCAGGAATCAATCGTATACACCCACTTTGTTTCTCTTCAACTCTTCCATCTGCTACTTGAAACATGAAGGGTGAAGATCCAATTTAGACCATGAAGATAAAGGCTATAGGCTACAGAAGCCACAACTATCTATTATGCCACTATTAATTTGATGCTCTGTACCTGCAGCCAAACCTAATCCTAACTGATCTGTTCTTTATAAAAAGGAGATGCAAAAAAAAATTCTCAAACATTGTGAGGAAAGGTCAGTTGTTAGATTTTTGTCCAATGATGTACGGTCTCTATTTGGGGTAGAATATAAGATTTCTCTACTTGGGATGTGGCAAACACATTAAATATTTATCCTAAAAAACACTTTCAGAGTAAATTAGGGTAAATAGAAAGTATGAAACCAATTTGTCCATTTAGACAAACTCAATAGAACTGGTATTAGGTAAGTCTTTCCTGGGGAGTTTTATATTTTGTCTGACAAACCATATGATTTTTTTAGACGTAGACAGAATTGTAGTTACCTATTTAGGAATATATCTGAAATCTAAAAAAACAGAGTTAGAGCCTTATGGGATTAATGTGTTCCATGATCATGAAAATCCACCCTTGCTCTTGGGCAAGAAAAATGTGACCCAATCTCACAGACACTTTTAGCACACAGCTTTATATTAGGAATATTTACATTAGAAAAAATTAAGAAAATTAAGACATAAATTGTAGAAGTATCTATGCTTTAGGTGGTTTTATGTGATTTCCATGTATAGTTGCCTTGCTAACTTTTCTAGGAGCTTTTAATTAGCTCTGTAAGCCATGAGATGGGACGGTCTATCACTGTTTCTACCTCTTTCTACGCAAGGAGTATTCAACACCTTCTGATCATTTCAAAAGTCTTCTAATTTTCATCCTCCTTGACTGCTCTGCTTGTCTGACACTGTTGATCACCCTCCTTGATTCAACAAACATTTATTATTCACCACTTGTCAAGCAAAATGCTAGGTGCTTAAAGGTTAACCCTTAAAGGTTAGAGTAGATCATGACTGATTTATATCAAAGATAAGGAATTGGGATTTTATGCTGTAGGAATCCACTTAGGTTTAAGTACGAGGAGGACATAATGAATTTTTTAAGCCCATTATAACTAGTAGCAGATGGACTAGTCATATGGAGACCAGTAGATAACAATTTCAGTAGTCCACAGGAATGGTATTAAATGTCTGAACTAAGTTATTAAGAAAAGAAACTGGATTTAAGACTTATTACTGAAATGAAGTCAATGGAATTTGGTGGCTGACTAAAAATTATTAGATAGGAATGGGGAAAAGTCCAGGATGATTTCAAAGTCATAGACTTGGGTAACTGACTGAATATGCTGTCTTTAACCAAGATTCAGGCTACAGAAACTGTAAAAAGTTTGTGTGGAATGTTCACTTTTGGAAACTAAATTCTAAGGCACCTACAAGATTTCCAACTATATCATTTAGACAGCTAGAAATATGGCATCAGAACAAAAGCATGAAATGAATAAGAATAGAAGAGACCTAAAAATTGAACTCCAAGTATCCCCCCTCCCCCCGCCTCCCCACTTCATGGAGCAGACAAAAAAAAGAACTGACCTCGCTTGGTTTTCTGTGACTACAACCATCCAGATTCTCTTGCCTTTCTGACCATCTCTTGGTCTTGTCATTGTTTTTTTCCTCCTCCTTCTACTCCTAAATAAGAATGTTCGCTGAGACTCCATCATTGGCCCTCTGATTGTTTCTCATTATAATATATTCTTGGAATCTCTGTGTACTAATTAATGCCAGATATGTAAGTTTAGGAAAACTTGACCTAAGCTTTGCTCCTCTGAGTCCAGTGCCTTCAAGATATTTTCAATTTGTATTTCTATTTCAAGCCCAACATGATATAAACTGAAGTAACTATCTTTTTTCTCTGACTCAAAACATAACAGCACTTGGTATTCTTTGAGTTTCTCCTAGTTGAAACCTTGGAGTTATTTTGACTCCTTCCTCCAGTCTACCCTATATGATCCACCAACAAAACAAAACAAGACAAAACAAAACATACCAGTCTCATATTCCTTTAAAAATATTTAAACTCTTCCTTTCTTGCTTCTTCCATGCTTTGTTAACCTATTCTAGGTCCTCATCACCTCACTCTTGAATCACTACATTCTCTTCTTCCTAAGACCATGTTGTGATCACCAATTTCCTATTGTATCATGTCTAAACTCCTCTGCCTATCACTCAAGTTTCTCATTGTGGGTAATTCCATATGCTGCCAACTTAGAATAGCCTTCTTCTGCTTTTATTCATCTTTTACGTATTTCCAGGAAAACCCACATAGTTCTGCCATAAATGCACAGTTGACCCATGAACAACACAGGTTTGAACTGCGTGGGTCCACTTACCTGCAGATTTTTTTCGGTAATATAATATGGTACCATAAAGATATTTTCTCTTATGATTTTCTTAATAAGATTGTTTTCTCTAGCTACTTTATTATATGAATATAGTTTATAATATGTATATAAAATGTGTGCTAATTGACTTTTTTAAAATAAGATAATCTTTTTTATTTTTTTATTTTACAGAGAGAACACAAGCTGGGGAGAGGGACAGAGGCGGGGAGAGGGAGTGGGGGTGGGGAGAGAGAGAGAGAGAGAGAGAGAGAATATGAATATCTTAAGCAGGGCTCCATGCACAGCACAGAGCCCAATGCGGGACTCAGTGCCACAACCCTAGGATCATGACATGAGCTGAAATCAAGAGTCAGATGCTCAATTGACTGAGCCACCCAGGCACCCCATGTGCCAGGTGACTCTTCATGTTATCAGGAAGGCTTCTGGTCATCAGAAGTCCATTAGTTAAGTTTTGGAGGAGTCAAAAATTTTATGTGGATTTTTGACTGGGGTGGGGTTTGGGGGAGGTATCAGCACCCTTACTTATCCCCTATGTTGTTCATGGGTCAACTGTACTGCACAATTGGTAAATTATAACTACCAAATTCTATAAATGTACACTGTACATTTAAGAAATGTATTATCAGTATAATTTTATATATAATTGAGTGTTTTGGGAATCTATACCCCATTTTTTGTACTACACTAGAAAGTACCAGAATTAACTTGTATTTATTTTGGTTCTCTCACCAATACTCAACAGAATGTCTAGCAGATCAGTATCTATTGATTACAAGAATATCCTGAGATTTCTTTCTGCCTACCCATACTGGAAAAGATCATCATTAGGATATCAATTAACTTAATTCCAGCTCTGCCACTTACTTGCTATAAAACCCCGACCTACCTAACTCATAGAGTTGAAAGGTTAAGGTTATTTGCTTGAAATGAGCTTAGAATAGTTGAATGACATATGTAAAAGCTCAATAAATGTTAGTTGTTACACTACCACTTATATTAATTATTTTAAAATATTTACCCTATGCCTAATCTGTACTCTTCATATTTAGAGCGTTTATCTTTACAAAGCACTTATACGTTATCCTATTTGGTTCTTTTTTTTTTTTTTAATTTTTTTAATATTTATTTATTTTTGAAGGAAAGAGAGACACAGTGTGAGTGGGGGAGGGGCAGAGAGAGAGGGAGACACAGAATCTGAAGCAGGCTCCAGGCTCTGAGCTGTCTGCACAGAGCCTGACGCGGGGCTCGAAATCACGAACCATGAGATCATGACCTGAGCCCAAGTCGGACGCTTAACAGACTGAGCCACCCAGGTGCCCCTCTTATTTGGTTCTTAAAGCACAACAATCTAGTGTGGCAGATTAAGTATTATTTCAGTTTTATAAGTCAAACATAAAATAGATAAATCAATGTGTCCAAAGGCACAAACCGAGTTCCATCTCCAACTCTTAAATCCATATTTCCAACTAAGAAATCAACCCCTGCGGCCTCAAAATCAATGTGGACAAAATGGAATTATATACCCCCTTGAAATCTATTTTTCTTTGTTTTCTTTAGGACATCACCCACTCACTCACTGAAGATGGAAGCAATAGTATTATTTAGTGGTAGTAGCAGGCATAATCCTGCTCTCACCTCTCCAGACCCAGCTAACTGGTCAGCAAGCCCCATCAAGTCTATCTCCCTAACATCTCTCACAGGGCCCCCTTCTCTATTTGCACAGGCTTTCCCCACCTATCATGGACTGATGGTAGTAATGTCCTAACTGATCTCCCTGTCTCTGGTCTCACTCCAGGCAGTACCCCCAGTACCACTACTCAAGTCATCTTTCCAAGTGCAGATCTTATCAGATAGCTTTCTTAATTCTTCAGTGGGTTCCCCTGGATAAAGACCACCTTCCTTAAAATAGCATCCAGGGCACTCATGATCTGTGCCCTGTCTACCACACCAAGATGCCCATACCTGTATAATTATTGTCACGTGTACCTGACATATCTTTACAATGATTGTTTTTATATATTTTCTTTAACCAAGACGATAAAATAAAATCATAGATGTCATAGACTTAGCTGTACATATGTTCTCAACACCAAACGGTGTCTAGCACATAGAAAGCATCAATAAATACATTCTAGATGCATAAATAAATGGTCAGAAAATGTCTATGCCATGTGACTAGTAAGCAGATATCTAACATCACCTGGCACATAAAAGGGTCTCAGTTAAATGCTAAGTGGATGAATAGATGAGCTGACTACTGTTCAGTGATAACAAAAATGAACACTTTTTCTTACTTTGTCTGCAAGGAACTGGTTGCGACGCTCTTCGATAAGCTTTTCCACAGCCCTCCTGTGTTCTAGCTGCTTCATTCTTTGCTTCTGAGCATTCAGCAGTTCTATTCGATCATCCTCAGCAAGCTTAGCTAGCGTAGCTTTTCTAAAGGTCTCCTCTTCCTCTTTTGCAGCCTGGAGTACTAGTTCCTTCAGGGCCATTTGTTCTAGAAAATCTTGTTTCAACTCCTTTTGCTTTCTTAATTTCTCTTCTGCTTCCTCCTAAACAACAATCCGTATAAACATTGATTCAGTAACTGTTTCTTTACAACCGATTTATAAAGAAATGATGGATAGAGTTTGGTTAAGTGCAGTGTTACAATATGAAATAAAGCCTGAAAAATTAAGCCTTTTCAAGATAACACTTTCCCTCACCCTGTTAACACTAGTTGGATAAAGGACATGTTACTTTGGATTGCCTTCTTTTATTTTTAAATTTTAATTTGTATCTATTTTGAAAGGAGCTGACATAAAAACTTTTTTGCATAACTGAGATCATTAAATCTGTGGTCTGTGAAATTTGTACCCACAAAGAATCATTCTAGAATCTTGCCTGAAATTATGATTCAAATTACTGGGAAATATTTTTCAGAATAATAATCTACAAGTGACAATCACAAGTTTTTCAGGAAAATTCAAATTTACCTGGAGTAGTTCAAATCTTTTCCTACAAGCTTTAATTTTCCTAACATTATGAAAAATTTCAAACATAACTGGAAAATAGAAGTTTACAGTGATCACTCATCTACCTAACACCTAGGTACTATTAGTAACATTTTACTATTTTTGCTTTATCATCTATCCAATTAGGACTGATACAATTCCTTCTCAACTGTAACCAGCCTTGCCTAATTCAAACACAATTTCCAGGAGGTAAGCCATATCCTCAAGGCAATCAAAATATTGCCTTAATAACAGCCGTTTGGTCAGGTTTCTTACAGGTAACAGAAGCTATAAGGGATTTACTATAGGCCAGCAGGTGGTATGAGAGAACTTCCAGGATGGCCAAGGAGCCAGCCACTGTCTTGGTTACCATCTGTCTTCGGTAGAGTTAACCATCATGGCTCAAAGTTACCATGATGATAACTCTACCAAAAGTACTCCCAAAGACCCAGTCTTCTACATGTGACTATGACCTCATTTTGCCCACTTCTATCTTCACACCTTGAGGTGGAGAGTAACTTGGAAGATAACCTAGGTCCTATGAAGAATTCTAGCTAAAAGAAATGTGGTTTTAACTTTATAGCTTTTATAACAAAGTAAGACAAAAAAGTATAGGAGTGGATTTTAAGCCACCCAATCTGGAATATCAGCTGTTTGTTCCACCTATTTGTTAATTATCTTGAATGTTCCACTTCTTTTTCTTCACTTACCTCTATCTAATCTGTTCAAAACCTACCTCCTCCAGAAAGTCACTCTAATTCATACATCTCTCTCTTTTGGGCCTCTGATACCATTTATTTTTCCCATCATTAATTTTACTTCAGATACATGCATTATCTCCTCACTAAAAATAAATTCCTAGAGGGCATATTATTTCTTATTATTTTATTTATCTTATATATTATTTTCCTTTGGGATGCTGGGCACAGTGTTTTTATGATATTATAGTTTGTGTTCATCTCTATGTATTATATATAGAAGTCAGAAGGCTCACTGAAGGCAGATATTGTCTCAGCTTTGAATTCCTCCAGAGTTTATCCTAATACCTTGCACACAAAAAATACACATAGAACCAAATGAACTGTTGACATTTCCTGGCATCCATCTCCCATACAAATTTTAGTTTAATCCAATCAACGGTAAAGACATCTGACTAAAAATCAGGGAAATGTTAGCAAAACAAAACAAAACACCATTCACTGTATTTTTTTTCAACTAGAAAAATGTCCCTATACTCTTTGATATGCCTGGATCAGGAATATATATTAATGTAATATGAACTGCATAATTTTCCAAACTTTTCTACATTCTAAAGCCCATAATGTGGTTTGAGAAATAGCTGTTCACTGCAGGTTTGAAATAATTTGCTGAAAAAACTACTTTGAGCCTGGAAACTTTTAGAGGTATCTTGGTCTGGGTTCTCCTCTGAAAGCATAATCTTACACAAATATTTGCGTATACATATTTTATGAGAGAGAGAGAGATCTCAGGAAGCAGCAGTGAGGGAAAAGCAGAGAGAAATAGGGAAGGGAGAAAAGCCAACACGTGGGTACATCACTGAACTGGTTACTATGTGGGCAAGTGTGGCTTAATCCTGCCAGAATCTTGTGAGGAATGCATGAAGCATCTTTCAGGTCTGTCCTCAAGGCTGACAGGAAGAAGCATTTATCCCTTAATTCCTGTCCATTGTTGGCTGAGGGATGCCTCAGAGGGTGTTCACTCCCTGCCCCCACCAACAGCACCACCCATTAGGACACTGTCAACCACAGTCAGTGTAAACCCTCACAAGTGTTCTCCACAGCTGCCACTGAAATTAGAGGTGAGGCTAAGAGGGTATGAGGCAGGGCACAGCAAGCTTTTCACATGGGATATATCCTTAGTAATCTTATTTTGGCTTTTTCTACATTTTTTGAAATCACTATACTTTTAATGCAGAAAATAGTACCATTAAGATTGTCCCATTTTATAAGTATACAATTGAATGACCGTTCATTATTTTCTAATCTTTTTTCTTTACAGACCTTTTAGTCTTTCTAGTTTTGTTTTTGCTTTCCTTTTTAGTATGTTTTTCCAGAGTAAAAGCTTTACCACCCAATACTAAATAATTGGATTAATTAATTCTAATAGGTTTTCCTGATTTTGGTAAATTTCCACTTGTATCTTTATCATTTCCTTCCATATTCTTGCCCCATACTTGAATTTGTATTGTTTTTCTAAGTTACTGAGTTGGCTGCCTGGATAATTTTTTCTAATATTTCTTGTTAAAAATTAATTGCCTCAACTTTAAGATACAAAACAGACGAACATAAGGGAAGGGAAGCAAAAATAATATAAAAACAGAGAGGGGGACAAAACATAAGAGACTCTTAAATATGGAAAACAGAGGGTTACTAGAGGGGTTGTGGGAGTGAGGATGGGCTAAATGGGTAAGGGGAATTAAGGAATCTACTCCTGAAATCATTGTTGCACAAATGCTAATTTGGAGGTACATTAAAAAAATAAAATATAAAAAAAAAATTTTAAAAGATTAATTGCCTCAGAGATCAGTTTTATAAATCTGATAAGATTTTGATGTGTACTAATCTCATCCTCTAAATTACCTACAAATTTCCTCTTCAACCAATAATAACTGAAAATAATATTTTTAGATTTTCAGATAGAAGATGAAAATATTTGTCATTAATTTCTAGTGATGACAAATACCATTTCCCCTTGTATTATTCTGGTAAATTTTCTTTGGAAGTTTAATAGCTTTTAAAGTTATGTACTTCAGGGGCGCCTGGGTGGCTCAGTCAGTTAAGCATGGACTTTTGGCTCAGGTCATGATCTCACGGTTTGTGAGTTTGAGCCCCACGTTGGGCTCTGTGCTGTCAGCTCAGAGACCGGAGCCTGCTTCAGATTCTGCATCTCCCTCTCTCTCTCTGCCCTTCCCCTGCTTGCACTCTGTCTCTCTGTCTCTCAAAACTAAATAAAACATTAAAAAAATTTTAAAGTTATGTACTTCAATGCAATGTTACATAGAAGATTAAATGTTTATCCTGTAATACCCTCATTGTCAACTGTACCTTTCATCTATGATATCTGGGATTCATTTGATGTTCTATCTATCTGATGCTAACCTTGACTATTTGCTTCCCCTTGGTCCATGTATACCTGTTACACGTTCATCCATCATTTTATTCTTTTTTGGGTAATTTGATATGAACGGGAGAGGGGCAGATAGAGAGGGAGACACAGAATCAGAAGTAGGCTCCAGGCTCTAAGCTGTCAGCACAGAGCCCAACGTGGAGCTTGAACCCACGAACCACAAGATCATGACCTGAGCCGAAGTCGGACACTTAACCAACTGAGCCACCCAGATGCTCCTATATTTACATTCTTACATGCAGTAATCATTAAGAATATACACCCAACAGGGTTTTGATATCAATACATGGTAACTATTTCCTCCTCACTGATGAAAAAGTTTATCTAAAATGATGTTTTGTTATAGGTGAAAAATATTAAAAATAATGCTAATAACCAACAATCTATTGCATACTTGGCTATTCATGTATTTGTTGTATGAAGTCTTTGTTCAAACTTCTTGCTCATTAAAAAAAATAGTTCTTTATTATTCTATTATTGAGTTATAAGTGTTCTTTTTATATTCTGAATAAAAGGTTTTTGTAAGATACACATACAGAATACTATTTCCCAGATTGTGGCTTGCATTTACATTTTCCTAACGGTGTTAGGAAATTGTTAGTTTTGATGAAACCCAATTTGCAACTTTTTCCTTTATGGATCATGCCTTTTTTACTGTACCAAAAAAAATCTTCACCCTTCTCAAGGTCGTAAAGACTTTCTCCTCTGTTTTCTTCTAGAAATTTTGTAGTTTCATCCTTTTTGTTTGTCACACTTATTTTGAGTTAATTTTTGTATATAATGAGACAGAAAATAATAAACTGGAGGGTAGGGGAAATAGGAAGAGGTTGATAATGGGTACAAAGTTCAGCCATAGGGCCTGAAGATCTAATGTAAAATGTGGTGATTAAAGTGAATAACACTGTATTATATAAGTGAAATTTGCTAAAAGTCCAACTTAAGTGCTCTCTTCAAAAAGAAATTAAAAAAATAATTATGTGAGGTGATAGATGTATTAACTAGATGGGAGAATCATTCCCCAAAATAAACATATATCAAATCACCATAATGCTTTAAATATCTTACAAGTTTATATGTCAATTATACTTTAAGAAAACTGATAATAAAAGCCAGTTAACTTGAAAAACCTGAGGCAAGAGTGACCAAAAAAACAAAGAAACAAATTACCAATATCAGGAATGAAACATGGGATAGCATTGGAGACCCTGCAGACATCAAAAGGATAATAAGGGAACAGTATGAGTAATTCTACATACACGTTTGACAACTTAGACAAAATGGATCACTTTCCCAAACACAAGTCACTAATAGTAACCAAATATGAAATAAGATCATTTGAATTAATCTATAACTATTAAGGACACTGAATTAATAATTTAAAGCTCTCAAAAATAAAACTCCAGGGCCAGATGGTTTCATTGGAAAAGACTACCAAACATTTTAACAAAGCATTAAAACCAACTTTACACAATCTTCCAGAAAACATAAGAGGAGGGAACACTTCTACATTTATTTTATGAAGATCATAATACCCTGATACCAACATGAAAACAGAAAACTAAAAAGCAATATTCCTCATGAATATGGAAGAAAACATCCTTAGCATAATATTAGAAAATAGAATCCAGCCATATATTAAAAGACTTATACACCAATGCAAAGTGGGATTTATTCCAGTGATTAGACTGGTTCAATATTCAAAAAAAAATAAATGTAACCCACCAAAGTAAAGAAAAAACACACAACCTTATCTATAGATATAAATAGATATCTATATAGATAGATATAGATATCTATATCTATAGATATAAAAAAGCATTTGACAAACTTCATTATCTCTTCATGATAAAAATCTTCAGAAAATAGGGTTAGAAGAGAACTTCCTCAACTTAATAAAGAGCATCTATCTACAGAACTACAATTAACAAAATGCTTTCCCTGAAGATAGACAACAAAGAAAGCTGATATCTATCTCATCACTCTTACTCATAACAGTGGTAGACAATGCTAGAAGTTTTAGCCAGAACAATAAGGCAAGAAAAGGAAATAAAAAGGATACAGATAAAAAAGAATTAAAACTGTCCCTATTCTCAGAAAACATAACTGGGTAGGTAAAAAAAAAAAAAAAGAAAAACAACTCCTACAGTACTAAATGAATACAGCAAAGTTGTGAGATACAAGATAAATATAAAAAAAGTGAATTCACTAGTAATGAGTCCGTGGACACTGACATTAAAACTGAAATTCCATTTACAATTATTCAAAAAAAAGAAATATTTAATATAAAAACAAAGCACATACAGGATTTGTACGATGAAAACTATGAAACACAAGAAAAAATACAAAGATGATCTAAATAAATGGAGAATTATACTATGTTCATGGACTGGTAGATTCAACAGTGAACACGTCAGTTCTCCTCAAATTGATACTTAGATTTAATGCAATTCCTCTCAAAATCCCAGAAGACTTACTTGTACTTAGAGACAAGATTATTCAAAAATATGTATGGAAAGGCTGGGGTGCCTGGGTGGCTCAGTCAGTTAAGTGTCCGACTTCGGCTCAGGTCATGATCTCGCAGTCTGAGTTCAAGCCCCGCGTCAGGCTCTGTGCTGACAGCTCAGAGCCTGGAGCCTGTTTCAGATTCTGTGTCTCCCTTTCTCTCTGACCCTCCCCCGTTCATGCTCGGTCTCTCTCTGTCTCAAAAATAAATAAACATTAAAAAAAATTTTTTTAAATATGTATGGAAAGGCTAAAGCAAATTTGAAGCCTTATATAGCTACAGTAACCAAAACTGTCTGGTATTGGTGGAGGAACAGATACGTAGATCAACAGAACAAAATAGAGATCCCAGGAACAGATCCATACAAATATACTTAACTGTGTTTTAATAAAGTTGCAAAAGCAATTCAATGTAGGATAGAAAATCTTTTCAACAAATGATGTAGAGCAACTGAATATCTAAAAGCAAAAACTGTTGACCTAAGTTTCACATCCCACACAAAATATTAACTGAAAATAGATCACAGACTTAAATGGAAAAGGAAAAAAGTTTTAGGAAAAAAAGGAGAAATTCTTCAGGATCTAAGCAAAGACTTCCTAGAATTGATACCAAAGTATGATCTAAAAAAAATGAAATTAGCAAATTGGACCTCAGAGAAACTGAAAACATTTGCTTGGAAGAAGACCCTGTTAAAAAGATAAAAAGACAAGCTATAGACCAAGAGAAAATATATGAAACCCACATACCTGACAAATGACTAATATCTATAATACATAAAAAACTCTCAAAACTCTACGATAAATTAACAACACAATTAGAAAACTGGCCAGTCATCTTGACTTGTGGTCAAGGTTTTTGATGTTGTTGAACACCATATCCTGTGGTTTTTGGACTACTTATTCTATATATTAATGAGAAGGGATACTGAAATCTTGAACTGTAATTATGGATTTGTCTCTTTCTCCTTTCAGTTTTACTTCATGCATTTTAAACTTTATTTAGGTTCATCCACCCTTTAGGACTTTTATATCCTCTAGATGAATTTACCATGATTTCCAACACCACTTGCTTTTGATTAATGTTTAGTATATCTCTCTCCATCCTTTTGTTTTTAAACTATATGTCTTCATATTTAAATTGTGTGTCTTATAGATAACACAGTTGAATCATACTTTCTATGCAGTTTCTGGACTGTTACCTAGGTATGACTTTTTTATCCAGCCTGAAAATTTCTCTTTTAATTGCAGTGATTATGCTATTTACACATAATGTAATTATCAATATGGCTGGGTTTAAATCTACTATTTTTCTATTGCTTCATCTCAAAATGATACTCTTCTCTATGTTAATCATTCTTTCCATTTACAAAACTTACTTTTAGTTTCATCTTATGTATTTCAGCTTGTTCTTCCTGGTATAATTCTTGTCTCACTTGTTCCAAATCTTCACGTTGCCGCAGCATTTCTTCCAATTTCTGAGTCAGCTATCAAATTTTTAAAGAAACACACAAACATTAATAAGAAACAAATTCTATATCAAGTATTTCTGAATTTCTCCATTGTTAAAGTGGCTATTTTAATACCATATTCTGAAGCTGCAGCCTTTTTTCCTCATTTTCTTGAACTTTTGCCATTCGATCTTCTTCTCTTTGTTGCTGCATGTTGGCAAACTCTATGATTTTTCTGTTTTCTTCTTCCATCTCCTCACGTTTCTTTTTTCTCCAGAGAGCCTGCTCTTTCTGAAACTCTTCTATGTACCTTCGAGTTACATTCATTTTTTCTAACTTTTGTTGTCTTTCCCTAAAAAAGCAATAGTTGAGTACAGTTTAATAGTACAAGAAATAATATAAATATAAAAATGTGTCATTTCCTTCAGTTGATAATGTGGGAAAAAACAGCCTTTCTATTTATAGTTTATTCATTCATTCATACCACAAACATTTTGAGTGTCCACTATGTACTGCTAAATATAATGACAGGTATGAATTTTCCAAGTAAAATACTACTTATACCTTTCCTCTAACCTATTAATGAAGTTTTATGCCTCTCACTTCAGAAAGGCACCAACCTGTTTACATAAGCCTAGCAGTACACTACACTTCAGTTGTCTAGCAAAGAAATGATCAGAAGACAAGTCCTCTGACACGATATGGGCACATTTAAGGAAAACAAAGGTTTAATCATTGTTACTTAATAAGCATTTGTTACCAGATTATTATAATGCTCACAAAGATAAACAGGAGTTGGACTCCGTTTATGTGATCGTAATACTTCCTGAAGACTTCGTATGTATTCAGCACTGTTCAGGTGCTTCTCCTCTTCACAACAAGCCTGACATAAATCTCATCTCAATTTTTAGGCATGTAAAGAAACTGGGATAAACTTACAATTGATCTTCTTCATAGATTTTCCTAACAATTTCATCAATCATGAGTTTCTCTTTCAGTAACTGCTCATAAGCTTCCTGCTTTTTCCTTTCTTGTTCCTCAAGTTGTTTCTCCAAGTCAAGATAATACTGTGCTTTTACTTTATTCCGTTTGTTCTCTGCAGCATTCTCTTCCTTTATTGCTCTCTCGTGTTCTTCCATCATGATTTTGGCTATTTCAGCATCACGTTTCTGTTATGAAAACAAAATTCATCTTTCTACTTTCAAATGTGAGTGCAGTCTGATAGAATATTTCAAAACAGGTGAAATTGAATATTATAAAGTGTACTGCATAAAATATTTTCATCTGTCCAGGTAAATGCAAAGGTAAGTCACTGTTACTTGAAGGGTTTGAATGATGAGTCAAACCCTAAAGGTGCTTTCCCATTCCTTCAAGTAGATCTCAAGGAAATACAAGATAAGTGTAACTAATAACTCCACGTGTGAGAAAATTAGAAAAACTCCGCATTTGAAAAACAGCAAAAATTTGAAAAAATTTGAGGTACTTTATTAATAACTGTTTTTATTTTTTTTTTTAATTTTTTTTTCAACGTTTTTTATTTATTTTTGGGACAGAGAGAGGCATAGCATGAACAGGGGAGGGGCAGAGAGAGAGGGAGACACAGAATTGGAAGCAGGCTCCAGGCTCCGAGCCATCGGCCCAGAGCCTGACGCGGGGCTCGAACTCACGGACCGCGAGATCGTGACCTGGCTGAAGTCGGACGCTTAACCGACTGCGCCACCCAGGCGCCCCTAATAACTGTTTTTTAAAAAAAAAAAGCAGTAGTAATCTTTTCCTTTTATTTAAAAGTCATGTAGGCAATTTTTAGCTCCATTATGTATCAGCTGCCCTTTACAGTAAGGATTGTACTCTTTTTCAGACAAGTCTCCTATTAACCAGCTCTGAGCAACTCTGAAGTTTCTCTCAGCCTAAACTTTCTTTCTTGCCACCAGCCTTTGAAGTCTCTCATTTCTCATTTATTAAATGCCCTTTATAATCACTTTAACTTAAAAGAGTCACATATATCATTGTGCCTGTTTTCTGTAGCTTTTAATTCACTCATTGAAGACCATTCCCTGAGTTAGAGACAATCTTACTTCTTTTTTTTAATTTTTTTTTTAACGTTTATTTTTTTATTTTTGAGACAGAGAGAGACAGAGCATGAATGGGGGAGGGGCAGAGAGAGAGGGAGACACAGAATCGGAAGCAGGCTCCAGGCTCTGAGCCATCAGCCCAGAGCCCGACGCGGGGCTCGAACTCACGGACCGTGAGATCGTGACCTGAGCTGAAGTCGGACGCTTAACCGAGTGAGCCACCCAGGCGCCCCGAGACAATCTTACTTCTTAACTAGGTTAAACCTCTTATTTGTTTTGAGCATTTTTAAATCACTTAACAAAATAAGTTGTAAATTAAATATACTGAGGCAATTTTTATTACCCTCGACCATTATGATCACATACCAAATAGCATCAAATAGACAAGAAAAGATTAAAATGCGAATGTGAATGCCATTCCTAATCTAATTGAGGCTTTTAACATATACACTATGAATATGACTTGACCAAAATTTTTTCTTTTCTACTTTCTTAGTACGTGTTGTATTGGGTTCTTTAAAAAAATGTGAAATGACAAAAACATTTATGTACACACTGCCACACACTTAATAGACATACAATGTTCTCATTTCACAGATTTAAGAAGACTAAAGCTCAGACAGAGCCCATATTGGCACCTAGGTATCTCAACACCTAGTCAAATTGTAGGACTATTTGACTTTAATTTTTGTGGACTCACTTTATTTAGAAAATAGTGGCAATTCTTTCAGGAGTCAGACTTAAATGTACAACTACCTGGAAAAACTTCAATGATCAGAATAAAACTGCAAACTACTGGTCAAAGAGTACACTGTTTATGTTCTACTTTTTGTTTTTAATTTTATTTATTTTGAGAGAGAAAGAAAGAGAGAACATGAGGGGAGGAGCAGAGAGGGAGAGAGAAAATCTCACAAAGATGTGGGGTTGATCTCACGAAGCATGAGATCATGACCTAAGCCAAAATCAAGAGTTGGACCAACTCTAGCTCAGCTTAACCAACTGAGCCACCCAGTTGCCCCAGTTCCACTTTATTTTTGAAAGGGTAGAAAAGAACTACATGGCTAGGAAATGAGGTCTCCTCATGCTCTCCTACCACCTGCCACGCGAAAGGCAATCCCAGTTAACAGCATGCTGTGCAACCCTTCAGACTTTTCCTATACTAACACACATGCATGCACATCACTGTGGCCAGCATCTATTCTTATGAGATGCCTATGTTGCATTGTGCTGGTTAAGTATTTTGATATTATTCCTCTAATTGTATGTGTGCATCAACATATATGTGTTGATATATATACACATATGTTAATATACAGTTTTTAAAAAATAAAGACGGTCTGTGATGTGTATTTCTTTCCAACTTGATTTTTCTGCAACTTGGTTTTTTTTTCTTTTTAACCTAAAATATAACTTTAAAAGCCACAACATTTACCTCTACCTCTTCTCTTTAATAGCTTATAATCCTTGAAAGGGATCCAAGAGAGAGGAAACTCTACAACCAAAATGCTTTACGTATTAATAGAGAAACGAGAGAAAAGATTGTGTACTATTGCAATCAGACCTTTTCATCTATGTCTAGCCTTTCCAGGGGACCATGAGGGCTCAAGTGATGGTGTGCACACTGCTTTTCAGAATTAACTCAATAAACCCTATTTTACATTTACTGTAGCACCACTAGTGAGTGTGTCTAAAACTCCTTTGCCCAGGAGTAACTCTTGCCCTGAATCTGGCAGTATGTCAGGAGTTAGAAAAGGGAATAAACATAGAGGAAAAAGATAAAGAGATAGCTACTTACAAAACATGAAAGTTTCCTGCTTAAAATTATAAAATACTTCACTTTTTAAAACATTTAACAAATGAAAAACCTAGTAACATTCTAAAATGAATTGATCACACTAACAACTTGTACTGTATTGGTTTGTCAAAGAATTATCAGTCAGAGACCACAAAGAATGCTCAGACTTACTGAGTATAGCTATTCATTCTAAACAGCAACCACATTCTTTGTGTCTCTGAAAGGCTCTAATATTAAATTAAACAAGGCTCACTATTGAATAATTTCTGAGTTTCTATACCTTAAGGATCTGAAAAGCATAAAAGTATTTAAGAAATCTAGCAGTGTAAATTCTTCATAGTATGTAGCAATTTTCAAAAAATTGGTCTATTGTTGATTTTCTAAATGAAGCTAAAAATATAGAAAACATAATGACCAGAAACATGATTACCATTTGCTCATGTTTAATGGCATCCTTCTCTGCAATCTGAGCTGCCCTTTCTTTATTCATGTAAGCTGCTTTTAATTTCTTCTCCAATTCTCTGAGCTCAATACTGTTTTAAAAAAAAAAAGACAGAAATTTAAAATTGAGGACCACATTTTCATCTTAAAAATCTGTACCTGAAATTTAAAATAATTTTTTTCTAAATGTATATTTATATTAAATATCTTGAAAGTAATACTCTTTTCTCTCTTCATCCAAAGAAAAATCAGAATGAAAATGAGGCATTATAATTAATTTTCCAGACAAAACAACTGTTTTATTTCCAATAATCACCACTAAAAATCTTTTTGCCAGTGCCTGACTCAGAGAAGATGCTTTAGCAATATTGGTTAAAATTTCTGTCCAGCTACCGACACTATTGAGCTACAAGAACTATAGTGGAAGGGTTGTAAACACTCTGAAAGCCATGACTATTTTTTGATGATTAATGATGGAGAGGAATGACCATGGGCAAGTTTGCTTCACTTCTCTGGGCTTGTTTACTTACCTGTTAAAAATGAGGATCACCCTCAGAAAACCTCTGAACTGCTTTTCAATCTATCCCTTCCCTAACTATAGTGGAAAATAATATGCCATACACAACTTTTCATTTTAATGTGCCAGTCATATTTCTGAATATGAGAATTCTGAGTCGGAAGGGTACTTAGATGTCACTTAGAAGCACATCTTGGGGCACTGGGGTGGCTCTATAAGCTGAGCATCTGATTCTTAATTTCAGCTCAGATCATGATCCCAAGGTCATGGGAGCCCCCGTGTGGATCATGGAGCCTGCTTAAGATTCTCTGTCACCCTCTCCCTCTCCCCTTCCTTGACTTGTGCATGCTGTTTCAAAAAATTAAGTTAAATTAAAAAAAAATTTTTAAAGCACATCTTAATTCTTACTAGAACAGAGGCACTCACCTAATTATAAACAATTTAGAAGTACCCTAAACCTCCAAAGAGATAATCATGGGTAGGGAAGAGAGCTATTCTTGGTGTTGTGATGTGTCCTTCTTGCCCTCACTGTTGTAGTTGTAAATGTATGGGACACAAGATTGTCTTCTTTCATAAAAGTAATAATATAAGTGAGGATTAAGTTTCTAGGTTAGTCCACATATTTTACTCTAAGGAGCTGACATATTTACAAGAGTTTTTGTTGGATTAGACTTAGGTACTAATATTAGTAAGCCAATGTACATACCCAATCCCAATTTATAATATTACCTCTCCAAAACAAAGTGCATCAAGTTCCAAACAACTAACATGTAAATAAATGACTTTCATTTGAAGGACAAATGCACAGATTTCTACTGGATATATACCTAGGAATGAGATTTCTGAGTCACAGGGTAGGCTGTATTCAAATTTCATAGAAAATGCCAGCTTTCCATGCTCTGTACAGAGATTTACACTCATAGTGCTTCAGTACTCCCACTGCTACACATCCCAGCAACACTTTTTAGTCGTGTCATTCTTTTTCATTTTAACCACTCTTGTGGGTAAAATATCACTGTGGTTTTGTTTCCCTAATAAAATGAAACTCAGACCTTTTCATATGTTTGAATCATTTCTGTGAAGTCATTCATCTTCTGTGAAGTTTTTGTTCAAGAATTTTTTGCCCACTTTTAGACTAAATTGTCTACTTCTTGTTACAGAAGAGTTCTTTGTATGTTCTTAATATAAGTCTCTTGTTAGTTACAATCATTGCAAATATCTTATTCCAGTCTGTACTTACTCTTATAGCTGTTTCTTTAGATGAAGAGAAGTTTTCTAATTCACCCATCTGTTTCTTCATTGTCAATGACTTATGTGTCATGTTTTAAGAAATGTTGCCTACTGCACAGACATAAAGTTATTTTCTTTTGTTAGTCTCTCAAAATTTTGTTTCACCATTGACTTTTAGACTATAATCATTCAAGAATTGAATTCTGTGTGTAGAATGAGGTAAAAAAATCAAGTTCATTTTTGTATATATGGCTATTTAATTGATGCAGTACCATTTTATAAAAATGTCCATTTCTGAATGTTCTGCACTACCATTGTAGTGCCAGGGATTTGCAGTGTCATAAAGTTTAAGTGTGTATATATGCATGGATCCATTTTTTAATATCCCATCCCATCGTTCCTCAACTGGGGTTCCATAAGAGAACTAAGCCTCACAGAAAACGGAGTCTATATTTTAATTCTCTCATAGACAGTACATAGCAGGCATTGTTTTAGATCCACAGGAAGTAAGTTAATTCATTACAGATGCCGTAGGCCATTAGGGTTTAAATTTTCTGGTTGAAAAGATCTGCTCCATCCTATTTCATCAATCCATTTGTTTATTCTGTGCTAAAACCACAATATCTTAATTATTACAGCTTTATAATAAGTATTCATATCCTAAAGAATACGTCTCCAATTTTGGTCTTCTTAAAGATTGTCTTAGCCATTCTAGGTACTTTGCATTTCCATATACATTTTAGAATAAGCTTGTCAAATGTCATAATAAACAATACTGGCTGAGATTCTGATTAGGATTATCCTGAATTTATAAATCAGTTTGACATGTTTACAATACTGAGTCTTCAATTTTATAAACATGGCACATCCTTCCAATTATTTAGGTTTTTAAAAACTCTATTGATAATAGTTTTTTTTCAGTGTTGAGGTTTTATACCTCTTTCATTAGTTACTTACTTTTATATGCTCTTGTACAAATTATTTTAAAACTTTCATTAATTGTTGCTAATTTACAGAAATACAATTAATGTTGTATATTGACTTCACATCCAACAACACTGCTGAACTTACTCTTATAATTTATACATAGATTCTTTGGATTCTCTAGATACACAATCATATCATCTGGTAATAATAAAAGTTCTATTTCTTTACTGCCAATCCTAACAACTTTCATTTACTTTTCTTGCCTTATTGCACTGGCTAGTGTCCCCAATACAATTATTAAGAGAAGTTGTTATAGCAAGCATTCCTGTCTTCTTAATATAAGTAAAGTGTTTAATGTTTGCCATTAACTATGATGTTACTGTAAACTCCTTTTATTCCTAATTTGCTAATCCTCTTTTAATCTTAGAGTGATGTTGATTTCCACCAATTGGTTTTTTCTGCTCATACAGTTTTTCTATTATATTCTGTTCATCGGATGAATTACACTTACTGATTTTCTAATGTTAAAACAACTTTGTATTCTTAGAATAAGTTAAATTTAGTCAGATTTTTATCTTTCTCACACACTGTTGGAATTGATATTAACTAATTTCAGATTACAGTAGCTAAACTCAAGAGAAAAATTAGTCTATAAGGTTCTTACCCTACTCAGATACTGATCTGATTACAATCAATTGGAAAGTGTTTCTTCTTTTCCCACTCTGCAAAACTATGTGAGATCAGGGTTACTATTTGAATGTTTGGTAAAATTCACCAACCACCTAGCTATGTAGGTTTCTTTGTGAAAAAGGTTAATTATAGGTGTAATATCTTTAAAAGTTATAGAAACATTTATGTTTCTGTTTCTACATATGCCAGTTTGGTAAATAGTTCTATTTAAGAATTTATCTAATTTTCAAATTTATTTGTATCAAATTATTCACAATATCTTGCTATGATCTAGTAAACATTTGTATGATCTACAGTGATATCTTATCATCCATTCCTAAAATTGGTTATTTATGCATTCATTCTCTTTTACACTATACCATTCTGACCAGAGGTAATCAATTTTATTAGCCTTTTTAAAGGCACAATTCTTGGCTTTGATTCTACTTTATGTTTACATTCTAATTCATTTGTTTCTGCTCTTATTATTCTCTTCCTACATTCTTTTTATAATCATTCCAGATGGAAATTTGCTGTACATTCTCTAATATCCAGATGGAGCCTTCATTTCTAATAGTCATTTCAGATTATAAATTACTCTTGAGCAACAGCTTTAGCTAAACCCCATAAGTTTGAGGGTTTTCATATTATAATTTTTTATTGTGGTACAATACAAAAAAGAAAAATTTGCTATTTTTAACTATTTTAAGTGTACAATTCAGTGGTGTTAGTTGCATTCACAATGTTCTACAACCATCATCACTATTTCTAAAACTTTTTCATCATTCGAAATAGAAATGCTGTACTCATTTAAGCAGTAACTTCCCATTCCTCTCTTTTCCTAGCCTCTGGTAATCTCTAACTACTTTTTGTCTCTATAAATTTACCTGTTCTAGTTATTTCACATAAGTGGATTTAAACAGTATTTATCCTGTTGTGTCTGGCTTACTGCACTTAACATATTGCTTTCAAGGTTCAGCCATATTGTAGCATGTATCAGAACTTCATTCCTTTTCATAACTGAATGATATTCCACTGTATATACATACCAAAGTTGTTGATGGACAACGGGGTTGTTCCTACCTTTTGCTATTGTGAATAATGCTGCATTAAACATTAATGTACAAATATCTGATTAAGCCTCAATTTTCAATCCTTGTGGGTATCTACCTAGATAGATCATATGGCAGTTCTATATTTAACTTTTTGAGAATCGTCAAACTATTTTCCACAGTGCTTGCACCATTTTATGTTCCTACCAGCAATGTCCAAGGGTTCCAATTTATCCACATCTTCACCAGCATTTACTTTCCATTTTTTTATTAAAGCTATCCTATCAATTTCCCTAATGACTTAATGATGTTGAGTGTTTTTTTCATGCGCTTATTGCCCCTTGTCTGTCTTCTTTGGAGAAATCTCTTAAGTACTTTGCCTATGTCCAAACTGTTGAATTGTAGGAATCATTTAAATATTCTGGATATTAAATTCTTTTTTTTTTTTAAGTTTTTTAATGTTTATTTTGAGAGAAAGAGAGAGAGAGAGTGGACAGGGAGGGGCAGAAACAGAGAGGGAGACACAGAATCTGAAACAGGCTCCAGACTCCGAGCTATCAGCACAGAGCCTGATGCAGCCATGAGATCATGACCTGAGCAGAAATCAGACACTTAAATGACTGAGCCACCCAGGTGCCCCAAGGATATTAAAATCTTATCAGAGATGTAATTTGCTTTTCTAGTCTGAGTTGGTTAGGAGTTATGTGTAACAGAGATGAGCATCTTGTGTCAATCCTACAGGTAGCTACCAGGTAGGTTCAAACATACATACATAATAATTTTCTAATAACATCTGATCTGCTCTCCTCTCTCCAGAATGAGGGACAGATACTCACAATATGGGCTACTACTTTCAAGCCTGCCTTAGAACTGGGAGGGGATGGAGCAAGGACAAATGAAAAAACTACAAAGCTTTGCTGCCATTTTTAAGTTGCCTTTTTCTTGATTCAGCATTCACTTGGTTGCTATGAACCTTTGACTGTTCGAACTGTACTGCCATCAGGAACAAAGTGGCTATGTGTTTAATAAAGGAAGCCTATCTGTCTCCTCTTTGAGCCAGTGTTTGCTAAACTTAACTATCAATTATATATGAGATACTTGTTTTTGCTTTTATAAAACTATATATTAACTATATAGTACATGTATAGCTGCTAATTATGTAATTATAAATTGTATAATTAATCATATAATTAAGCATAATAATTTTAAATCACTGAAATTATTAATCACACATATAATTACTGATCTGTGGTATAATTTTAAAAAAGACTTCTAAAAATAGGAAGTGACTAAAAAAATAAAAAAATAAAAATAGGAAGTGATTGTCCCATCTCAAGGTAAAAGCAGTGATAAAATTAAACTGTCTTTTAAATATTTTCTTGGATTAAAAAATCATGTGTTCAAAGATCAAATAACAAAGAATCTCATGACTTTCAAAGTCAATTATTTTCAAAATAAATGTCAATGAGCCTTAAAATTTACCTTGGGTTTTAAAAATTCATTTCTTTTAGATTTAAAGAGGCTAATCTTACTATACATGGTTTTTAATCACTTAGGATGTATTTTGAGTACCACTGCAAACATTTCCTTGATTTGAGAATTGCCAATTTGCAGATGAAAACACTGATCAGAAAACTGGTCCCTTACTGCACGTCAGTCACAATTCCATCATGGCTTATGCACAAAATTAAAAACTCTTAGCAGTTTTGACACTGCTAAGAAGTAGCATTCGCTATTTGAAAAAGCACTCAGCTGAATGACTTCTGCCTTAAATTTGAAGAAAATTTTCAAAAATATAGCATTCTAGATGGGCCATTATTTTCTTTCAGCCCTTTCAATACATGGACTTCTCGTTTTCACTGTTACTATCAAAATCGAGTTGTACTTCTGATTGTTGCTCCTTTGAACGTAATAGTCTTTTGAGGGGCTGCTTTTGTGATTTTCATAGTTTTATTTATTGTTGGATTTCAGAAGTTTGACTAGGATAAGTACAGGTATAGTTTTCAACATTTGTTGTGTTTTAACCTGTGGCTTTATGTCTTTTATCATTTTTGGACATTCTTGGCCAATATCTCTTCAAATACTGTTTTTTGCATCATCCTCTTCTATTTCTACTACCAGAACTAAAATCATACATCTGTTAGAATTTCCATCATAGCCCTTAACTCTTTCAAGCTTTCTTTTGTATTTTTCTATCTTTTTGTCTCTCTGTGCTTCATTCTGGATATTTTCCACTGGCCTGCTTGCACATGGCTCTCTTCATCTGTTTCTTTCTAATAAAATCAAATTGAATTCTGTATTAGTGAAGTAAAACATACACGAAGGTGCAAAAATCTTAAACATAAAGTTCATCAAAATGTTGAACACCTTGCCATATGCTTATTGGCTAAGCTCTGCTTCAGTTTTCTTAACTCTCAGCCATACTTTTGGAATCAGCAAAGCTTCCAAAAGAAATGCAGCTTCAAATGCCAAGCTTACCATTCAGGTTTTCTTCTTTCCCAGATCTGGCTTTTATACTTTCTCCAGATAACCTGTTCTCAGAGGGAGCAATTATTGGAATCACTTTGTCTAAAAATTGCTAGAAGTAGAAAGTTCCTCCATTTCATTTTTAGATCAGTGAATTAGACAAAAATATGATGAAATATTTGTTTCATCTTCAGATAACATAAAACCACAAGGGATAGCTCATATGATTGCAGAATTAATGTCCAAAAAGACGGTTTGCGACTAGAACAATACGAAGACATTAGTGGCAATTTTAAATCTTTAAGAATTAGTAAAAGAATTTGATAAAAGTTGTAGACCCAGAAAAACACACATGGGTACATCTGTCAAACATATAAATATAAATTAATGAAGTTTAGAATCCCTGAGGGTCACCCATGGGTCATATAATATCCTACAGGAAGTTTGGCTCAGTTAAGATAAAATGTAACAATTATCAAAGTAAATAAATTTCTATTATATTCAACTATGTAAGTATAGGTGTGACATGGCTGCTCCTAATAAGTAATTCTGTCTTAGGCAACATTAAGAAACATATTTTAGAACAATGTGGTTAACAGTCCCTCTACTAGGGGTATTAAGCAATACCCTGGAGCATTACACATAATTATGGGGGTAATATTTTGTTAAGGACCAATAATCATGTAAAGTGTATCTACAGAAGAGAACCAGGATGGTGAAGCTTGAAATTATACTATATGTGAAACAAATGAAGGAATGAAGGATGTTTAACTTATAGAATAAAACATTTATGGGATTCATAAATATGAAAGGATATCCTAAATAAGCACTAAATTTGTTTGTTTTTTATTAGATAGCAAAAATGAGATAAATTCATGAAAGTTACAAGGAAATTAATTTTGAAACAATATGGGGGAAAGATATTCAGAGTTACAGCTGAATGAAAATAGAAGTTCTATGGCAATCACTAGAGGTGTTGACCCATAGCTGACCAGCCACTTTTCAGTAATACTGGGCTGGAAAATTAAATTATGTAAGGTTTCACTTAAGAGTAGGATTCATGAGTCTATTTTTTAGGTCATTTAAAAAATTACATTTAGAGGAAAGATAAGAAACTGATATTTATTTTCACCTTAAACACTACTTTGAATACAACTTCTTTTCTCAAATGAATATATACAGGACTTAAAGCAATAAGCATTTCCAGACAAAATATTAACTAAGTGCAATGATACAAAGAAAGAAATTTCACTTTCAGGTGCCAAGCACAACATAAATAGTTTAAAGGCAAAAACAAAATAACTGAAATTTATAAAAGCCAAGATACCTGTTTTCTCTTACTTGTTGCCTCATCTTTTCATCCTTTAGACTTTCATGTTTTAGTTTGGCCAATTCCATAGCCAATTTTTCTTCTTGTTCAATCTGAAGTTCCCTCAATCTTTTGTTTTCTTCTGCCTGAATTTTTTTAAAAAAGAAACTTCAATTATTTGTCCTTCAGAATCAGATATATTTTTTCCTCAAGGAAGACTCTGTTTTGTAACAGAAAACTTCAAGTGCCTTCGGAGCAACAACCATTTGTGTTTTATTTTAAAATACAAAACGCTATTTCAATCAACACTTTCCCAAACGTTTTACCATAGAAAATGTCAGACATCTTAAGTAGTAAGAATATTAAAATACACCCTCAGGTAGCATCACTCATTTTCAATAACTACCAATATTTTGTCAACCTTTTTTCTTTGCTCTTCTACTCCAATTTCATTTTTTTTCCTTTGTTCTTTTTTGCGAGACTACTTATTTTTTTTTTTTAATTTTTTTTTTCAACGTTTATTTATTTTTGGGACAGAGAGAGACAGAGCATGAACGGGGGAGGGGCAGAGAGAGAGGGAGACACAGACTCGGAAACAGGCTCCAGGCTCTGAGCCATCAGCCCAGAGCCCGACGCGGGGCTCGAACTCCCGGACCGCGAGATCGTGACCTGGCTGAAGTCGGACACTTAACCGACTGCGCCACCCAGGCGCCCCTTGCGAGACTATTTAAAACATATCCTAGATATGTCATTACCATATAAGTAATTCAGTATTGATCTCTACCTGATAAGAATTTCATCTCATATAACAACCATACCATTAACATGTCTAAATAACAGTTATTCCTTAGTAAGGTGTAGTCCATTTTCAGGTTTTCCCAATTGTCTCAAAGATGCTTTTAGTTTGCTTTTTCAAATCAAAATCCAAACAAGGTCCACATGTAGCATCTAGTTATTAGTTCTCTTAAGTCTCTTTCCTTCTGTAATAGTCCATCCCATACACACATTTTCCCCCCAAGCCATTGATTTGTTGTAGAAATTAGTACATGTAGCCCATAGAATGTCCTACATTCTGAATTTGACTGATTGCTTCTCCAGGATACCATTTAACTTGTTTCTCTTTTGTATCATGGGTAAAATGGTAGAAGAATCTAGAGGCTTAACTAGATTCTGTATTTAGAAGGAATAAGCACATGAAAAGATGTTCACAATCATTAGCATTCAAGGAAATGCAGATTAAAATTACAACGACAGATCACTACAAACCTATTACAATGGCTAAAATGAAAAATAATGGCAAAACCAAATGTTGGTGAGAAATTGTTTGCTGGGTGGGAATGTAAAATGATAGAGCAACTCTGGAAAACAGTTTGGTAGTTTGTTATAAAGCTAACATACAATTACCATATAACTCAGTAACCTTACTCTTAAGCATTTATCCCAGAGAAATGAAAACTTATGTTTATTTAAAAACCTGTATCCAGAATTGGACCCAAAAATGTATGGCTAACTCATCTTTGACAAAGCAGGAAAGAATATCCAATGGAAAAAAGTCTCTTTAACAAATGGTGCTGGGAGAACTGGACAGCAACATGAGGAAGAATGAAACTAGACCACTTTCTTTCACCATTCACAAAAATAAATTCAAAATGGATGAAGGACCTAAACGTGAGACAGGAAACCATCAAAACCCTAGAGGAGAAAGCAGGGAAAAACCTCTGTGACTTCAGCTGCAGCAATTTCTTACTTGACACATCTACAAAGGTAAATTAAAAGCAAAAATAAACTATTGGGACCTCATCAAGATAAAAAGTTTCTGCACTGCAAAGGAAACAATCAACAAAACTAAAAGGCAACCAAAATAATGGGAAAAGATATTTGCAAATGACATACCAGATAAAGGGCTAGTATCCAAAATCTATAAAGAACTCACCAAACTCCACATCTGAAAAACAAATAATCCAGTGAAATAGCGGGCAAAAGACATGAACAGACACTTCTCTAAAGAAGACATCCAGATGGCCAACAGGCACATGAAAAGATGCTCAACGTCACTCCTCATCAGGGAAATATAAATCAAAACCACACTGAGATACCACCTCATGCCAGTCAGAGTGGCTAAAATGAACAAATCAGACTACAGATGCTGGAGAGGATGTAGAGAAACAGGGACCCTCTTGCACTGCTGGTGGGAATGCAAACTGGTGCAGCTGCTCTGGAAAACAGTGTGGAGGTTCCTCAAAAAATTAAAAATAGATCTACCCTATGACCCAGCAATAGCACTGCTAGGAATTTACCCAAGGGATACAGGAGTGCTGATACACAGGGGCACTTGTACCCCAATGTTTACAGCAGCACTTTCAACAATAGCCAAATTATGGAAAGGGCCTAAATGTCCATCAACTGACGAATGGATAAAGAAGATGTGGTTTATATATACAATAGAATACTACTTGGCAATGAGAAAGAATGAAATCTGGCCATTTGTAGCAACCGTGGATGGCACTGGAGAGTATTATGCTATGGGAAATAAGTCAGGCACAGAAAGACAGATACCATATATTTTCGCTCAGATGTGGATCCTGAGAAACTTAACAGAAGACCAGGGGGGAGGGGAAGGAAAAAAAAAGTTAGAGAGGGAGGGAGCCAAACCATAAGAGACTCTTAAATACTGACAACAAACTGAGAGTTGATGGGGGTGGGGGAGAGGGGAAAGTGACAGATGGGCATTGAGGAGGGCACCTGTTGGGATGAACACTGGGTGTTGTATGGAAACAAATTTGACAATAAATTATGTATTAAAAAATAATAAAAAAATAAAAATAAATAAAAACCTGTATCTAAATGTTTACAGATTTATTCAAAATAGCTAATAATGGAAATAAACAGACAAATGCTACCAGGTGAATAGTGAGATAAACTGTGGTACATCCTACCATGGAGGACTGCTCGACAACAAAAGGGAACGAAATAGTGACACTAGCAACAACTTGGATGAATTTCTAGCAATTAAGCTGAGTGAAAAAATCCAATCCCAATATACTGTTTGGGCCCATTTATATAATGTTCTTGAAACACGTTCCTTATTTTACAATTGTGCTTTAATTCACATATTATAAAATTCACCTTTTACAATTCCCAATTCAGTGTTTTTTTAGTATATTCACAGTGTTGTGCAACAATCATCATTATCTAGTTTCAGAACTTTTAAGTGGATATTTTTTTTTTGAAGCAGCTTTGTGTTCACAACAAAACTGAGCAGAAATAAGAGAGTTCCCATATACCCAAAGCCCACACATATGCACCGCCCACCTCACTATCAACACCCCACCAGCGTGGTACGTTTGTTACAATCAATTAATCTGCAATGACACAATCACCCAAAGTCCACAGTTTATATTAGGGTTAACTCTTGGTGTTGTACATTCTGTGGTTTTGAGAAATCTGTAATGATATTTATCTACCATTACAGTTATCATACAGAACTGGTGGATAGTTGGAATCATGCAGTATGAAGCCTTTACAGGTTGGATTCTTTCACTTAGTAATACACATTTAAAGTTTCTCCATGTCTTTTCATGGCTTGATAGTTCATTTCTTTTAGCACTAATATTCTATTGTCTGGATCAACGATCCATTCATCTACTGAAGGACATCTTAGTAGCTTACAAGTTTTGGCAATTAAAACTGCTATAAACATCCACATGCAGGTATTCGTGTAGACGTTAAGTTTTAACATTACAGAACAGTTTCATCGCCTCCAAAAAAAAAAAAAAAACAAAAACAAAAACAAAAAACAAAAAACACCCATACCTGTTAGCAGTCACTCACCATTCCACACACCCACTAGTTTCTGAGAACCACTAATCTGCTTTCTATCTCTATGGACTTGCCTATTCTAGATACTTCATTTAAATGGAATCACAGAATAAGTGGCCTTTTTGTGCTCGGCTTCTTTCATTTGGTGTAATGCTTTCAAGGTTCATCCATGTTGCAGCATGTATCAGTACTTCATTCCCTTTTATGTCTGTATAATATCCCACTGTACAGATAGAACACATTTTATCTAGTCATCAGTGGATGGGCACTTGGGTTGTTTCCAACAACCACCTTTTGGCTATCATGAATAATGTTGCTTTCAATATTCATGTACAAGTTTTTGTGTGAACATGTTTTCAATTGTCTTGGGTTTAGTAGAAGAATTGCTAAGTGATACAGCATTTGCATTTAACTTTTTGAGGAACTGTCCAACTGTCTCCCACAGCCACTACATTTTACATTTCCAAAAGCAATGTACAAGGGTTCGAAGTTCTCTACATCGTTTCTGATACTTACTATCCTTTTTAAAAAGAATTAGAGCAATTTTCATGGCTCTGAAGGGATACCTAACTGCGATTTTGATTTGCATCTCCCTAATGACATTATGTTGAACATCTTTTATGTGCTTATTATTCATTTGTATATCTTCTTTAGAGAAATGGCTATTGATGTCCTTTGTCCATTAAAGAGTTTATTTGTCTTTTTATTGTTGAGTTGTATAGGTAACATTCTTGAAATGACAAAATTATAGAAACGGAGAACATATTAGTGGTTGCCAGAGTCAGGCATGAGGTATGGTGTACAAGAAAGAGATGGTTATGTTTATGAAAGGACAAAATGAGGGACCCTTGTGGTCATGGAGCTCCCCTGGATCATGACTGTGGTGCTGGACATACAAACCTACACGTGTGATAAACTGTAGGGAACCAAACACACACACACACACACACACACACACACACACACACACACACACACCAATGCACAGACAGGAGCACAAGTAAAAGTAGGGAAATCTGAACAAGATTGGTGGATTGTATCATTGCTGTTATTTTGCCTGTGATATTGTACTACAGTTTTGCAAGATGTACCATTAGGAGACATTAGGTGCAAGGTATATTGGGTCTCTCTGTATTATTTCTTACAACTGCATATGAATCCACAATTATCTAAATAATAATTTCAATTAACAAAAAGCAACTGCAAGTACTGGTGATAACACAAAACAACTGGAATTCTCATACACCACCCGAGGAAATGCAAAAAAATGCAGCAACTCTGCAAAATGGTTTGGCAATTTCTTATCAAGTGAAACATACACCCACTA